TGTTTCTTTTACTTAAGGAGTTTCACAATGTTCCTCACTTAAGTAATTGATATCCTCGTTAATATCTTTATCCAAGATCATCCACCAGACATATAAGACTTTATAAGTGGCCCCCTATAAATTTAAGTGATGGCTCCCATCATGTAGCACTTTGTCCCACACAGGGTTCAAGAGTTGGCTCTCATAGCGTAACACTTTGTCTTGTATGACACTTAGTTTTCATCTTTCGCCGGTATATTGCTATGATACCATTTAATAGTTCAAACTCTTAATTATCAAGATATTGCTCGCTTTGACCTAAGAGCTTAACAATTTTATCCTGTTAATGTAACTTCCCAAATGGACACTCATCCCATAATTGCTCTGGGATGAGCATGCTTAAATGTAGAGTTTCTTATAAAAATTTTCAGTCATTGCACCAAAAAGATGCCTCGATGTTTAAGAGTTTAACTTTCTTTTACTTAAGGGGTTTCACATTGAGTACCCTAAACTTCAATTGCTCTAAGTTCGTGTTAGCTGCCACTTGCAACGGATGATAACTGTCCCCAAAATACGTTGGTGCATACTTATCATCTAAAAATAATTCTACGCCATACGTAAAAAATAAATGATGCTCCTCATCCAGACATAACTATGCTACTATGTTTTATTGATCAAATCATACAATAAACTTGCATAATCTCAAACGTAAATCAACATCACTCTTAAAAACTTTACAATATTATATTTTAATTTCACAAAATAATTTTATATAAATATATTTCAAAATAATACATAATATTTTAAAAGCTAATTATTAGATTGAAATGCACAAAAAAAATCACAATCAAACATTTAAATTACACAAAAAATAAAATGCTTTGAAATCTAACAAATACAATGTCTAAATACTATCACATAAATCATTTTTGGGCAAAAAATGATAGATAACTAAACCTAACAAAAATACTTAGGCAATATCTAAATATAATGTATATAGTTAGAAATAACTTCATCAAACCTAAGATAAACACAACATTAACCACATAAAATTAAATGAATAAAAAAAAGACTAACCTCAATGTCATTTTTTGCAAGCTTGGGCCGCTCGATTGTCGAACATCTCCTATAGAACAATAGCCGAAATGAGAAAATAGGGCTTTACAAGTGATAAAAGTGATTGAGGTAAGTCACCCAATAAGCCACAAATTAAACGGGTGACTTTGGCGATTTAAAAAAAAAATACTCGTTGGTTAACTAGCTAAATTAGATTGTTAAGATACTCATTTTAAAATTTTACCCGTGTAAATATTATTTGAACTCAATCTTATAGAACTATGGAAAATGAATCACTATATGTTAGACACTTATGTGAGTAAGAGACCCTAGTGATGAATTGGTCAACATATTTCACTTCTTTGCAATCATAGAAGGGTTTTTTGAACATGATGAGATGAGTAGGCAATCACCAATGCACTTTTGTGATTTTTTACTTTTGGGTTTGATTCATTTCAAGCGAATTAAAGTCAACATGCAATATTTAAATATACATTTGAAGGATTAAAGTATAAGTTTTCCTTCGCCTTAATTATGATGTTTTTGTATTTTTTATGTCTTCAATGTAACAACCACTTATATTATTTTGATTTTATGTAAAAGAATATCATGAGAAGTTAGTAGTCATCTCAGATCTTATTCCATTTCTTATACTTGCATATATTTGGAGGACAAGCCATCACAATGTTAGGTGGGCCTCATTGTTATTAGTCGAAATGTGGTGAGAAAACATTTATAATATAAAGAAGATCTGTAAAATATAATAAATTATATAATTTATGGGGATGAGTGCCCAAAATTTTATGAACAAATCATCTAAAAAATTATTCATAATAGATTTGCTTAGAGAATTTTGCGGCACATTTCGACTAATATAAAGTTATCGTTTTAAGATGGTAACTTCAAGTTGTTGAGTTTCTCTTTCGCTCGGGTTTGACCACCTTTAATTACCATGTCCATTATTACAGTTAATATCATTTGAGAATTTATTAGACAATTTCTACTATACTATATGAATTCCATGTGTGTTATGACAATCCAATTCTTGTTTTCCTCCATTGGCCCATTATTTGGCTCACCATCCTAGGTTGGTAAGGACGCACTCCTTCATTTTGTCAACATGAATAAAATCTTCAATTAAGCCATTATGGTTGCAATATTCCACTATCATACTAATGATTCTTATGAAAAATGCAATACACTAATTGTTCAATGACAATTGGAGCTTTACACATCAACATAACGATGGAACATTCCTTATCATTTATGTCATCCAGGATCTTGACTAGCAAAAATCAAAGTAAACTGAACATCAAGTAAGTCAAATGTAGAGGAGACCACTAGTTTTTTCAAGGGCACATATGTCAATATGCAACTTTTATGCTTATCGAAGCACATCATTCTCTAATATTATTATTGCTAATGATGTTGAAAATGGTGCAGCTCCTCGATTTAATTTTCCTTAGTTACAATGTGAATTATCATGATGATCCCATGGGATTCTTCTTGAGTCCATAATAGGTCCAAATTGTTGCAACTTGGCAGTTGAAGGTGAAGTCACGTGATGGTATTCCACTACATTAATGTGATTGTTGGCCAAATTGAGCAACTCAACCATATTATTCAATTATTATAAACTTATAGAATCAACCTTTGAGCGTTGCTTGGGCACCAACATCCTCAAGTCTTTGACACCCAACTTCTTTCATTAGAAGCAAATACCAAAATAGTGTTGAGACTTGTCATGCTCCCATGTCATGATCAATCGAGCCTGTGACTTCTTCATAGACTTATGGGTATTTGTGAATTGGGTGATGAATAATTGGATTAAATGTGAAAATATGCTAATGCTCTTTGGAGGAAGATGAGACGACTACCCTAATGGAAACTCCCTGGAAGTGGTGAAAAGGTGCCAACACTTAACCACATTAATTTATGGAGGAGATTTATTTTTGACTTGAAGCTAGCAACATGCTTAGATTGATCTTAATTCATTTTGTATGGTTTAAACACTAACATATTAAATTTAATAACGGTTGAGCCTTTGTGATTTGCACTGAAAAGTGTCTTTGATTGAGCTCAACACATTGTTGACAAAGGGGGTTGACAAAGGGGAGAGCAATATCCATTGAACTCTCAGGGCGGCAAGGCTCTTCATTATAAAAGAGATAGAATGGTAAATATAGGAATGAGGTAAGATCGATGCCTTAAAGAGATGATTGATTCATGCATTTGATAAAATGAATGAGATGAAAGGCTCGTAAAAAGAACTTATAATCTAATTAAATCATCCTCATGCAATATATCATGCAACAACTCAAAGGCCACATAATCTTTTGATTGCTACCTATGTACGAACCTTTTCTTGACTTCATTGTGTGATATGATAAGCTTTCTTATCTTTGGTGTATCCATACTCATTGCCCTTAAGCAAGCGTTGCATCTATGTTATCCATGAAAATATACCATGACCCTTCTAAGGATATGGATGGAGCCTAATGAGCATACAGGAGTAGAGATATAGAGAGGAGAGAGAGAGAGAGAGAGAGAGAGAGAGAGAGAGAGAGAGAGAGAGAGAGAGACTAAGTCTAAATAATTTTCTTAAGTGAATAGATTAAATACAAGTGAAACCAAGTTGCATATATAATTTAGAGAGAAAGAGAGAGATATTGTCAAATAGTGATTTTGAGAGGGAGACTGAGAAGGATTTTAGTGAAAGAAAGTTTTTGCTCAAGATATAAGACTTTATCATAGACTTTATGTCCTTACTTACATCTAACAAGCTTTTATCTATAAGCAAGGATTGAATTTGACAATACGAAAGTAGCTGTATAGTGTGATTATATAAAAATAATATGAGTTCGACTCAATATAGTTAGTAATATAGCGAGTATAGCTTGTAACTAGTTGCAAGCTAAGAACTTTTGGCGAGTTCTGGATTGATAGTGAGTAAAGTGGGCTAGTTCTTTTGGAAAGAACAACCAACTGGTTAGCGAGTAATTTGAGAGAATATATGAAGAGTCCTCGTGTGAGTTTCGTAACAACAATGATGGCAAAGTAAGGACCGATTCTTAGGTGACTCCAATAGATTTTGCTTTGGTAGACTTTACAATTTAGGATATTTAAAGGTTGATTTGTTTTAAGTTGTTGATTGTTCAAACTAAGTTACACTTATGCATTTATTAAATTTGATTCATATCACCACAATGATTTGATTAACTTGATTTAGGTGAATACAAGTGTAATATTTTTATCATATTCAATAATATCATTTAGAAATATATATTCAATATATGCATATTAAAAATCTTAAAACTAGAATGAGCTGTAAAAATAGCCCTCTATATTACGGATACTTGAGTTGTTTATTTTTTTTATAAATATTAAAATTATAAAATTTAAACTTTTTTGCTTATATATTTATATAAGAAAATGAAGGGAATTTACACACATAACACTCAAAACTTGTTTTATTCATATAATTAACACTTCAACATTTACATAATCTTACATTTTACTAACTCATTTAGGTTGCCCCAATGAATTTTGTCACAACTTCCTTTACTCATGCTATTGATGCTCTGCCCTAGCGAGCACTATCACGACTTCCTTTCTCGATCCCATTAATGTCTGGCCATAGCGAAGCTCCATTGCGACTTTCTACATCGATGTCGTCAATGCCTTGCCCTTATGAGTTCCGTTGCAATTTCATTTTACATGCAATGATATTGTTGAAACGATGCCTAGCGAGCTCCGTCTGATGGCATGCAATGGTAGTAACCAGATTGTCGACATTCAAAGATGATGCCGATAATGAAAACGATGGCGTACACATAAACACATGCGAAATATGGGAGATGGAATCAAAATTGCATTTGGAGTTAGTTTTATTTGTTTTGATATTTAAAATTTTAAATACTATGCAAGTAAAAAAAAAAATTGAATGATATGCATGTAAACGCGCCGTCGGTGTTGTTCTTCGCCCTCCCGGCGCCTCTCTCGTCGAATGGAACCCCCTTGCTCCTCCACCGAACCTTCTCCCACCCAGTCTCTACACAATCATATGATCGCTCACCCAGACCCTAACGGCACTTCCACTGATCTCCCTGCAACCATCTCCCTGGTCCAAAACCTCACAGTACTCGCCGAATCCTCTCTTAAATCCATTTACGAATTTCTTTCTTCCACTCCCACCTCTTCCTCCTTTGCCTCTGCCTGCCTTGGTCGCTGCCCTTTCGACTCTCGCCACCTAATGCCGCCTGAATCCCTCTTTCGCCATTCCCTCAGTTGCTCCTCGGCCCCTGGATCGCCTCTTTTAGACCTAGGGTTCCTTGATAACCTCCAATACCCAAAATCACTCAAGTCGGAGGACCAGCTCCTGAAGGAGAATCTCTTTATTCGGCCTCTTCCTGAAGCTGAAGCCGATATCTGCTTCTCTCTTGAAAGTGAGCTTGGAGAACTCTATTCTAATTTCTTCTATAAGGACTGCCCTGGCGTCGTTACCACTCCTGAGCCGGACGCAACCAGCCGAACATTTACGCTTCCTGCTATTTTGGCTACCGAGTGCGCCAACTTTATTAATGACCGTTGCGAAGGAGGTGCATATTTGGTGCAGAAGGTCGGGATTCTTCCATCTGATTTTTGGGCTTTGAGATCTGAAGTTGAAGCGTGGAGCAATTTTCCTGCAACATATTCGTTCACGGCTCTTCGTGTTGCAGTGGATTTGCACATGGCTGACGAGCTTAGTTTGAAAAGATGGGCAATTTTAAACTCGCCTAAATTTGGGATTTTGATTGATACGGCAATGAGGGATCACGTTGTCCTGCTTCTGAAGCTCTGCCTGAAAGCAGTAAGAACAGAAGCAGTTTGCTCTCTCAAGTCGGTTTTGGAGAAAAAAGGGTTTCTGGATCCAAGGGTTGTTAGATGTGATTGCCCTCGACTGGTTGGCAGCTTAACATGGCTGGCATCTCAGATTTCTGTTTTATATGGTGAAGTGAATGGCAAATTCTTTGTGATGGGAATGCTCAAGGAATCCTTCCTATGTACTGGAAGATGTTTGATGTTGTTTAGGAGGGAGGAGAAGAGTGTCATTAGTGATAAGAATGTGATGGCCGGTGGTTATGAGTGTAGTGGTATGGATTGCAAATTGGAACTGTCTAAACCTGCGGAAAACTTGGAGGTTAGACTCCACGAACCTTTTGATAATTCAAGCTGCGAAAAAGTATTTGTTTCTCAAGTTGCGTCCGCAATTGCTGCATTTCATGAGCGGTTCTTGTTGGAGCAAAGAGTCAAAGCACTGAGGTTTACCCAACCAGTGGCTAGATTCAAACGGTAATTTATACTCTTATTCTATTCTCATTTATAACCTTATATATCACTTATTTCTCAGTTTTTAGTGATTTTTGTGTAGCCATGCTCAGTTCTAAGCTAGGTTTGAAAAAAGGAGAATGGTTGTGTCCGGATTTGCTAGAAAATGTGCTGTTGTTTTGTGAAGTATAGCTAGTAATGTCCTCTCTACTGGCATATCCAACATAATTATAGTAGGAGGATTTTTCTTTAATAAAATTCGAAAGAGGTGAATATCTCCTTTCTTTATGATGAACAAGATAAGGAATCTGTAAAGGTAGAAAACTAGAAATAGAGAAAGTTTTGATGCATGTTTGAAGAGCCATTGTTTTCCCTTCTTTTGGTTGTCAGTTCGGGGTTTGTTTTCTAAATGATTATTTAATCAACAAAAAGCTGGATTGCCAACTCCTAAATAGGGAATCATAGCCTGAGCGCCTAATGTCTGGGATTTTGAATGTAACTTTTCATCAGCTTGATTGGTCATGATGAGGGTACAGGATCCAGATAGCTTGGTTCTTCTTGGAATATGGTGAGGGCCCTGCGGGCAGATGTTCAATATGATATATTTATACAAGTAGTGAGCATCGTTGTGCTATGTAAATTGAAAGTGATCTCCAGTAAATGTTTGTTTTGCTACTGCTCGACCTATCTCATAAGGTTGTGCATGTAATGCTAAATCGTGTAAATTATTATCAAGCTGATACATTTCATATTAAAAATTAGGAGTTCCAAAGCTGGTTCTTTGCTAACTTGAAATCTAGTTAGTTGATGAGCATTCAAATCCTTAAATATCATAAGGGTAAAGTTCATCTTACCTTTAAGCTATCTTTATATTAATCCTCTGAGTGGATAGTTTGCTTCTCTTAAGGGCATAATGGTAACATAGAAAATCATAATTGTGTTACCAGTGCAATGCCTAAGCTTACCGATAGCTTTGTTCTAGGCTTATTGCAATCAAGGACTTCTCAATATTATTCAGTCAAATATTGCAAAAATTCACAAGTTGCTTGAGTTTTAAATTTTCCTTTTTTTTTCTATATTTCCCACTTTAAATATTAAACACATGCACTTTTTACATTATTTGCTTTATAGTAGGCTGTTGCGTGGGCAAATATAAGAAAACCTATTGTACAATGATTAAGATGCATGTCTTAGCTTTAATATATTATAAGTTAGATGTGTGAAGTAAAGATAATGTACGCATTTTTGTTGTTAGCGAGTTGGGCATGCCCAAGATATGGAGTCCCACTAATGTTAGGTTTCGACTTTCGAGAGGGGTTGATAACGCAACTGTATCCCTGTATTTGTAGTGAGGCTATTTGCAAGACCCAAATGTAAAATCTCTAGACTACTCGAAAGTCAGCTTAACAGATCAGGCTACTCTAGGCCTGCCTACCTTTTTGTTAACAAAATCAGTTGTCAAAATTTCTTTTGTCTCTAATTTGCTTTTAATTAGCCATGCCTAGTATTTCAACAAACTCTTAAAAAAAGGTCTTATGTTGAAGCTTTACTGGTTGTTTAAAATTATCTATTGTTGGAAGAACTGAGCTCAAACATAATGATTGTATGGATGCTCACAAAATTTTAATTCGTAACTCTACCTTGCATTTGGATTCAAGGTGCTTTTTTGCTCTTCGATATTCCAATGTTGTGCTACTATATTTTCATATATGTTGAAATTTCCTGCGCACCATGTTTCCATTAGAGAAACAATCCACTAGAGGTACACTCAAACCTGTTTCTATTGTCTTCTTGAACCCACCAAACTAGGGATGGCTGGCTCGTTGCCAAGCCATTAAATTGATTGAAGTGAACCATGAAAGTGGTGTATAATGATCTATATATTTCTACGTATTAGTTTTATTAAATGAATTAATTATTGAATTTATAGGTTGGATGGATGACCTAAGTCATATGGTTGTAGGGGTGTAAACGAGTCGAGTTGAATAGTGGTATTATGGAGCTGAGCTCGTTTAGCTCATCTTGAGCTCGAACTCGACTCGTTGTATACAAATCAAGCTCGAGCTCATCTAAAAAGCTTGAGTTTGACTTGATTAAAAATCTCTAAATTGACTCATTTATGAAGCTTGAATTTTTGTTTTAAATTAGAATTTTAGGTAATCTTTTAAACTTTTACTTGTAATTTAAAATAAATTATATAGTTTTAACTGAAATATTGATTTTCACTTTAATACAATTTCATCATTCCTATCACAATTTCATCTGAAAATGCCAGGTCCTATTTGTTCTAAATGTCAAAAATACGTGCCAGCATTCCACAAACACAACCAAATAATTTTAAATGATTAACAAGAAGATATGTAGGCCCATCCATGAACCATGTCAAGATGATAGAGATGCCAAGTAAACTTTGCATATATTTACAAGTTATGCGTTGTTTTTTAGACATATCTTCTATCTTGTTTAAAATATACAGTATCACATAATAATACATCTACCATTTTTAAACCTTGTCTAGTTAATCATTATTCTATGTTAATATTCACAAATATAAGCATTTCAAACATGATAGAAAATGACAACCAAAATGACATTAAAAAAATGATTTTCCATTACTCACGGGTGAAGGCCCATGAACAAGAAGAAGAGCCCCAAATCGTAGTCGTCTGAAATGCCAATAACGGGAGGAAACGGAAGGAAACCTAAAGTACGAAAGAAAAAATCAAAGAGCTAAAGTCGCAGTCGTCATGACAAAGGCGAAGACGAGGGCGTGAGGTAGCTAGGTTTTTATTTCTTTAATTTGTTTAATATAATATAAGTTAATACTTAAAAAATAAAATAATATAGATAATGCAATCGAGTAGCTCGATAAACTTTCGATCGAGAGGTTAAACTCAAACTCGAGCTCATTTAATATACAAGTTCAATTATAGGCTCGAGCTCGAACTCGAAGCTCGACTTGCAATCCCGTTTAGTTGAGTTTGAGTTGGTTAACGAGCTGGTTTGACTCACTTACACCCCATATGCTTGGCTATGTCACCATCCATGATGTCGTAAAGTGTTTGAATATCTTAGCGTCTGATGCGATGTTTGAATTGATACAATAACATTCTAGAAGTGTCCGTGCTTCTTAGGCCACCATTTTGATTTTGAAGGTATTATTTTCCACAATCATTTCATTGTAGTGCTTTTTCTTTTGTTTATTTTTTCATGCTTCCATTGGTTGTTGATTACTGTACCCACTGTGTAAATTGCATGGTCTTTTGAATTCAGTGATTAAATTAGGACAATCGTTGTGTTCTATGATGAATACTGATGCTCGCAAAAATTTGGGAAGGGCCCCAAATTTTTGCGAGCAAAAACAAATTCTTCATAGGATGAAAGAATTACATAAATATACACAAAAATAGACAAAATACGACTTCACTTTTATAATTTTAAACGACTCTTACAACTCTTGACACTTACAAACGACGCTTACAAACTTTTGACATAAAATCTAAACTTGCATTCCTTGAGACGAAAGATACAGGTGAGGTGGTCACTTGCGGATAGAAGAAGTAGGTTAGAAGCCGAGTCGAAGTAGAGGAGGACAAGCTCGCAAGCTTTCCCAAGAAGGAGAGGAAGAAGAAGTTGAACAAGCTCGCAAGCTTTTCCAACAAAACCCTCAGGTTTACATTTCCAAAAATAACTCACACAACATCCTTTTTTTTGACAAAAACTGATGTAGAACATACATGCAAGGATGATTAACTTAGGGAGTTTGCACGCTTAATTTTAAAAACCACAATAATTATATCTTTATATTGATTTGTGAACGACAAAATAAAATACAAAGAGCGGTAAGACAAGCTTAGGCTAAATCACATGCATAGGAGTTAAGATCGTAAAACATCCAATTAATCTAACATTGCATATATGAGTGGTTTTCAACGATAATCCCTAAGCTAACACTGAGAATAGTCACTATGAAGCAGGCCTACTCACTCACTTTTTAAAATACTAGGCTTTAGCGGATAGAACTAATATGATCTCAGTGAATCAATTAATTCCACATTATAAAGTGACTTGGAAAATAAAAGAATGAGGGAAAAAGTTCACTGAATCCTGGGTTTTGGACTTGGAACAGCAATCAGAAGATCTTCCCGGTCAGGACAGTCGCCCCTTTTGGCTGAATTTTCTTTGGACAACAACCTGGATTCTGTTTTGAGAATTGGGCGCAATTGGAAGACTTATGATCAGCAGAACAGCTGTTTCTACTGCTGAAATTCTTCTGGACAGCAACCTTATAACTTAAAAAATCTGAGCAGCAGCCATAGGAAGGCTTTGGACAGCAACAGGAGGATTCTTAGCAGCGAAACTGTTGATTTCTCTTTGCAGGAATTTCAGGACAGCAGGGTTGAATGTCCAGAAATTTGAGGCAGCAGGTTTGGAAACCTTTTGGACGGCGTGACAGCAGTAAGAAGCCTGCTGGAATTGTTGAACAGCAGCTAGGGGTGTTTGAACACCGCCTATGGAGGCTTGAACAGCAGTTTTGGCCCTTGAGTGTTTCTCCAACGATGCAGGACAGCAGGAAACTGTATGGAAACTGATAGACAGTAAGCTGTAGGAGAGCAGCCAGTAATTTGGGTATCTCAAACAGCAGGAATGCGTAATCTCCTGTTCAGGAATTCTGAGAAAGCCAAGGAAATTTGAAAGTTCACCAAGTGGGGGTAGATGGGGGTGGCACCTTGGGATGGGGGTTAATGGGAAAGCAATAAGGGATTTAATTGAGTGGAGGGAGAAAAAAAGGATGGGGCCGGCAGATTCCAAGAGAGAGGGAGGGGTTAGGGAAAGGTATTAATGGGTTTCCAAAATAAGATTCATTAAATTAGGAGGAATTAATGATTCCTAATTCCTCTTAATTTAAATTTGAATTTGAGTTGAATGGATTTTAAAACTTACCAAATATAGACCTTGCCAAAATAAGAAAGATTTCTAATTTTGAAATCTGAAATCAGAACTTGAATTATTTCCAAAATAAG